CGGCCATCATGTGTGAGGGTCATGATGGTCAATTTGCATATTATCTCTTTATTATATAGGACTAGAGTCCCGGTGCACAAAAATTTGTGTACTCAGGGGGGTCCCTCACCCCGGCCTGTGCCCTCTTGCAGTCGGGGACCCCTCAGGGGATGTCCACCTGCTGGCTCCCCGGGGGAGCGGGCCTAAGCTGGCAGTCAGACATCCCTCTGGTAGCCCGGGAGCCCTTGGGGGATGTCCACTTGCCAGCAGGGAGCAGGTCTAAGCTGCAGTCGGACATCCTTAGCGCTGCTGAGGAGGCGGGAGAGGCTCCGGCCACCACCGCTGTGCTGGCAGCCATCAGCCTGGCTTCTGGCTGAGCAGAGCTCCCCCTGTGGGAGCGCACTGACCACCAGGGGGCAGCTTCTGCATTGAACGTCTGCCCCCTGGTGGTCATTGTGTGTCATAGTGACCAGTCATTCCCAGTCTTTCTGCTGTTAGGGTCAATTTGCATATTACCCTTTTATTATATAGGATGATTCTTTGAAACATCTAAACCTCTGTTACATAAGGCAGTTACATTGAGTGTTTTCTGATGTTAAGTCAATTTTATGTGAAATAATTTATATTGGAGTTTTTTTCAATATAATGAGAGCTTAGGCTTCATTTTAATAATTATCCTTGTTAAAGTATATTGGCTTTTATATGAATGACTAGAGGCCTGATGGCACGAAATTCAGGCAAGGGTAGGCCTTCCTTCCCCCAGCTGCTGGCACCGGCTTCCCTCTGGCACCTGGGCCAAGGCTTCCCTCGCAGCCCTGGCTTCATCCGGAAGGTTGTCTGGAAGGACGTCCAGAAGGTTGTTTGGTCTAATTAGCATATTACCCTTTTATTATTATAGATTTATAATTAGATCTAGGATGCTTAGTTCATGGAGGCAAAAAGTGGCTCTACTTATCTTTTTCTCTTCATAACATGGGAGCCCAAAAATATTATTTGTAAGAGGGGGCAAGCTGCCAAATCAGAATCTTATTAACTTTTTAAAATGTCTTTTAGGCAAAAGCTGACTGTATGTCCTGTTATCGATGGGGAAGAACACCTTCGTTTATTGAACTTTCAACACAATTTTATAACTCGAATCCAAAATATTTCTAATCTGCGGAGGTAATATTCTTGGATTTATATGATAATCATATAGAAGAAATTAGTGGGCTTTCTACTCTCAGATCCCTCCGTGTCCTTCTGTTGGGGAAAAACAGGTAACTTTTATAGAGCAGTTTTTGTCTATTATACTTAGGATTAATGTTGAGTTGTAGGTGTTTAGATGGCAACTCAGAATTGAAAAATAGTTAAGAACCTAATGGACTTAATTTTTGAAAGATTATTTGAATGAATTAAGATTCAGTCATAATTTGTCTTATGAGATTTAGTCTGACAATTAGTTAAAACAAATAACATTTATATAGTGTGTATTTTGTTATTTCCATTGCTTTCCAGTGTCAAAGCTTATATGTAAGTAAATAGCAGATTTGGCCTTTATGTTTTCTTAGGCTATGTTTTAAGCATGTTGTATTCACTTTAGACATAAGTATTTCACTAGTGATTCTCCTTAGTGCTTGACTGAGGATAGACATTTCTTACTTTGTGATCGTCAAATTACTGATTGATTTTTGTTCAGGTGGTGTTTTCAGTATATATTCAAGATTACATCCTATATGAATGTCCCCAGTTCTTTTTATAAGGTTCTATTATGTGTACAGCTACACAATTCCTGCCTAATTTCCTTGAGATTTTGTTCATGACTTTTCTCTTCATTCTGCTTCACTGGATGCAGAATGCCTAGAAAGAAGAGCTGTTCGGCAAAAATCTAAAAATGATTTTTATATTATCAAATAATAAAGTTTAGATGTGGTATTATACCCAAGCTTGGTTCCCCTCCATCTACCTTTCCCCCTCCCCCCAGCATGGATCTTGCATTACCTGTTTATTCTCATTAGCCAGCAGTAATATAAGATACTTTTCCCAAGATTATGTCCTAATCTGTTCTCTGTGGTTTCTTGAAAGTTCCCATTGGTGTAGTCTATCACCTACTATTGGTTCAAGTGTTAAACTAAGCAATATAGTACCACGAAGGAATTTGGGGGAATTATAGGATTATAGAGTATTAGGACTTGAAGTGACCAGAGAGATTAGCTCTCTTATTTTGCAGATGGAGAAATGGAGATGAAAGGTGACTTCTGCAAGGTTAGATATGTACAAACTAAATACCGTAGGAGTATGCCCCCAGAGCAGTTCACTGAGTAAAGTGAGGTGTAAACTTTTCATACATCAAGGCATTTCCTTCTAGGTGCTCACTGTTATCTCTCCCAGAGATTTCATCACTCGCTTCTGATTCTTGGAGTTACTGATTTGTTTCTCTAGCTTCCATTTATTCTGCAGTACCATTGCCTTTCTACCCTCCATGTCACTGTTTTCATGACATTGTAAATCTCCTTTTCTAGTTTTAAACTTAGTGTCTAGAGCTGCTCGTTTCCTAGGGTTTTAAATTATCTCTCAATCTACTTTCTTTTCCTGTGCCTCAAAGACACCAGTGTATTGGACCTTTTAAATCTTTTTAAAGGTCTCTTTGCTCCTCCAACTCTCTGGGGCCTACTGCCCTTCTCTATATTCTTACCATTGTTCAGTAAAAGCAATCTAATGCAGTTTCTTTTTCCTGCCTTCTAGTCCTTCATCCTTTTGTTTGTTTGCTTGCTTTGGGTCATATTTTACTTTAATTTTCCCATAAAGAAAATAACTCTTATTCAAGTTCTTGAATAAAAAAAAATCAGTCAGAAGACAACTTTCCATATTCTCCCAACTGGCAGATTTCTGAAGTATCAGTACAATGCAAATCTTGATCCCTTAAACATTTATCTAATGCTCTTCAGCCAGCTGACTTCATCAAGGCAAGGGGCCTTTGAGTCTTGAAGATGGAAATCTATCCTGAAGCAGTACTTTAGTAACCATTAGGCAAACCTGGCTGAGGACTGCTGAAGAGAGAAGCTCATCTGCCACCCTGTGCCCTCATGTTCGTCTTGGTGGACTTGTTGCCCTCTGCTGCTCAAGTCCAGAAACTTTTCTTCCTCCCACATTGCAAAGCACTGCACTGTCTTCTAGTCTAAGACAGTGGAACCATATATGAACATCTAGGGTAACCAGATGCCTTTAAGTTCAAACAGCTCCAATAAATATTTCTGCTGAAAAGCTAGAAAGACCCGGCTATGCTATATTTGAAGTTTACATTGCTACTAACGAACTCCCAACCCCTCTGTATGACTTTGCTGTTGAAGTTCTTGCTGTCTAACTGTTCTGCTTTCTGTATCCTGATTATCCTTGTGAGATCTTCTGGTGCCCTCATGATCACAGGCTAATGAATAGAACTCTGAATTTTCTTCTGATCACCAAGGACTGTATATAAAACTTTCCGCCAGACCCTGTGATTCCATTTTTCTTTCCTTTTGATTGTTTGAGGGTTCCCACTTATGGATTTGTCTCTGACACCTGGAAAGCCTCACCTTCATATAGATCTGTAGAAGGGACCTTATCCTGCTGTCAGTAACATAATGCAACCTGCAGAGACAGGCTGTCATAAATTTCTAGAGTTCTGTCGCTACTGAAGTGATATCTGAGCCTTGCCTTTTTCTAGTTTCAGTTTTGTTCAATGGGAGAACTTAAACAAAATTTCCAGTCACATTGGTGTTAATGTAAAAATCTTCAACTATTTGGGAACTGACTAGGATTCTGCAAATTCCTCACATCAGTACCTAATCTGACCATGGCCTCCTAGGTCATGGGCTGATACCTCCACCTGCCTCTGAATTCTTTAGAATTTTATCTGCTTTTGTGTCATTTCAGGTCCTAGGGGTGTATGGCAAAAGCATTTCATGAGAATAAGACAGCAAGATATTTAGTTGGTTTTCAGTTTAACTGACTGAACAACTTGTCTATTTTTATTCCTATTCACCTGGGCAATCAGAATCTGAAGTGAAAGTCATAAAGCCACTATGTGTCAAAGCTAAGAGAATGCTTGAAATCACAATAGACTGGGACTGTTTTACTGGATAGCTTAGCAGCATGTGAGGCCCTGGTCTTCTTTGGAAGACCTGTTGCACATTTAGGTTTCTGTGATGGGAGTGCCTTAAATGTGCCCAGAGTTTCCGGTCAATACAGAAACATTACATTGATCCTCTAAATCAGAGAAATATGGGCTGGGACAACCTCCATCACTGCTTGTGTATAATTTCCAAATATGTTAAAAATATAATTCTTAGACAGATAGATACTAATTCCAGGACAGTTTTTTAATTAACTCATTGATTAGGAAACCAATAGGATGACAAAACTGGTTCAAAGGAGGATAAAAGAAACTGATATATAGTCAATGAAAAATGACAAATACTGGAATAAGATTGTTAAGTTATAAACAGGTTAACTTTCCTATTAGATATAAATAAATTATATTTATACTTGGCAAAAATCATACATCAGTTTTCTACGAGTTAGTATATAACTTTACAGAATTTGGGCTCTGACCCATAGTGAATAGATGTTTTTAGGTAGGTTTGTTGACAGTGTTCTGACATTGAGAGGACCTGCAGTCATTTCTTAGCCTTCTTTTCAAGGTCTGGTTATCAACATTGAGTAGTACCTTTTTTTCTATATTCACATATCACAGTTTTATAAAATTGTTTTTATACTATGTGTTTGTCACTTGAATACTTATATTTTATTACTTATGTTTTCCAATGTTATTAAATGGTCTTTGAAAATATAATTTTATAGCTGCATAATCTATATGGGCATATATGTAATAATTTACTTATTTTCCTTTTTATTAGATATTTATAGTACATACTTTTTTTGCTCTAATGCTGTAATGAATATTCTTGTCCATCTCTGATTATTTCCTTAGTATTTTCTATTAGGTAGGTGAGTTCACCCTCATAAAGCTCATATGAGGGCAAATTGAGATTTGATAAGAAGAAGGTCTATGTTTGAGGGCATTACTTTTCAAAATGTGATCCCTCAACCAGGAGCATCAGCATTACCCAAGAACTTATTAGAAATGCAAATTTTTGGACCCTGTCCCAGAAACTCTGGAGGTGAGACTTAGCAAGCTATCTTTTATCAAGCCCTCCAGATGATTCTGATACACACAGAAGTTTGAGAACCACTGTTTTAGGGAATTTGAGCTTAGGCATATAAAAGAATTGAATAAAAGGCTTCTCTAATAGCTCTGAGGTCAGCCTGCATCACTCTCTCCTAAAGCCCAAGGTGCTTAGAAGAATTGCTCTTTTCTAAAGATACATTGTTTAAGCTGGGGGGACATTTCCTCTAGTAGGGCTGCATATTTAACAATACAATTAAATTGATGGGAAATATGTTTTACGTAATATATTTATGTAGATAGATAGCTGTAGTTATTTCTATTATCTGTGTTTATAGGGAATAAATAAATACTTTAGCATATTTTGATTTACAATAGATATGATACATCTACATTTCTATTCTATTTACTCTGATTTTTAGAATCAAAAAAATCTCAAATCTGGAGAATCTAAAAAGTTTAGATGTCTTGGACCTTCATGGAAATCAGGTATTGTAAAGATTTTTTATTTTTTTCTTCTTTGAGAAAAGTCCAGGAAAATTGACATTGCAAGAGTTTTAAGAATTATACTGAAATTTTCAAGTTACTTTACTGATTCACTGAAATGTTAAGCCTATTTTTATAAGATTTGGTAATTCCTTATCTTATGATATAGAAAGCATTCGAAATTTTTATAGTAATGACAATTTTGTTTCTTATTTAATCTTTTATCAACTTATTTTAAAATATACATTATCCAACCTCAACTCAAGACTAGAATATTACTAATGATTTTCTTTTACCTAGGTGTTCTTCCTTTATTTTGAGATAAGAACTTTTTGGATTTCACATTTATCATTCTTTTTTTAGTTATTTTTAGTTGGTTTTATCACATATATGTATGCCTAAATAATATATCATTTAGTAGCATTGTCTTAATTTAAAAAAGGTATCATAGTGTTGTCATCTAGTTTTTTCAGATACAATATTATGTTAATGGAATTCATCTTTTTTATTAAGTAGCTGTAGTTTATTCATTTTCACTGTTGTATGTTCCATGGTGTGGTTAGATGAAAACTTTTTTCTCTAGTTTATTATTGATAAACATTGGTTGTTTCCTTTTGTTTCCTTTGAGAATCGTACTTCTAAGAGCATTCTTGTACATGCTTCTTCCGTATACCATATGTACTCTGTAGTATAGATCTAGAATTGACATTGCTGGATTAGGTTATTTAAATGTCTAACTTTAATAAAAGATAATGCCAAATTGTTTTCCAAAGTGGATGCACCAGTTTATACTCCCACCAGTACTACATAATAGATCCTGTTACTTCACATCCTTTTCAACATTTAAAATTGTCAGACGTAAATTTTTTCCAATTAAATTTTTATAGTGTGCCCTTGTGATTTTAATCTATATTTTTGATTACTATATAATCTGGGCTCATTCTTCAATTCAGTCACTCAACTTGTCTACTCCCGTATCTGTCTATCCTAATTTCTCTATCTGATTTATTATGTTCCCCCTCCTGTTCTTTTCTTTCAGAACATCTTGGCTGCTGCTTTTTTAACATTTTGCTCTTCCATTTACATTTTAACCTTTGAAATGTGAATATTTACTTAGGAATAGCTCCATGAGCAGAAGTTCATCTTACCCCTAAGGTAGTAAACGTACATTCTGGGACGATCCAGGAGTCCCTGCCTGTTGATGATCAAGATCTGCCATTGCCAATTGCAGTCATCCAGGCACAAACCTCAGTATGATCCTTGGGCTCTCTAAGCTGTTAATCCCAATCATTTTGATGAAAAGCTAATGTAACTAATTAAAACCTTGATAGATCTAGATAGGCCACTTCTGCCAGGTTATCTTGTGCCAGCCCCATCTGTGTGTCTGTCTGTGTGTGCACCTTATGGGAGGAGTGTTGGTAGCCTGTCTACAGGCTGGTTAGTGTCACTCTAATACAGGGGAAGTTGCCCAGTTAGATGGTGCTGTAAGGGGCATAAGAATTAAAGAGTTTTGCCAGTTGGAGAAAATCATATGCAAAGCACTGAGACTAAAAATAGCATGGTATTTTTTTACTGCTAAATAATTTAGCAGGTATTCAGGAACGGTGAAAGGTGAGGTAAGAGAGGTAGGTAGAAGCCAGAGTGTGGAGGGCTTTGTATTGTCATACTAAGGAATTGATATTTTTTCTTATAGCCCACTATTTTAAGAACTATCCATGACTATTAATAGTGAAACAATGTCTAACTCTTAAAAAATTGAATTGGGTAGTTAGAAAAACTGAAAGAAAAATAAGTGTATAATTTTTGTCTTTTGAGTTTACATCTGTTGGAAATAAAAGTGATACTTGGTTTACATTGTGAAAATGTATTTGTTTTATGCGTGTGAAAGCATCTTGAGGAATGATGGTAGTGTTCAAGAAATAGACTTGGGTTGATCTCTTCCATTGTCACAGATTAGGGTGGTGGAGGCCTGGGACAGGGGTTATGGGTAGGTTATTAGGGGTCAATAGGAGAAAAAAGGGGACATATGTAATACTTTCAACAATAAAGATTTTTTTAAAAAAAATAGACTGGCGAATGGAATGAGATGGAGGGAAGTGAAATTGGAGACAACACTTGAGAGTCTAATCCACTAATCTTGGTGAGAAGTGATAATGGCTTGGGTTAAAGTAATAGCAATAGGGACATAATAAGGGGGCAGATTGGATAAATATTTAAAAAGTAGAAACATCAAGATTTAGCAATTGATTATATGTGAGTAGTGAAGAATGCAAATGAATGTGGGAGGTTGACTCTCCATTTCTTAACCTAAATTTTATTTGGTCTACTAGAATTTGTTCTCTTGGTCAATGCCTGTTTAAACATGGAAACAGATGTGCTTCAAGAAAAATCTGTTCTTTCAGGGCCATCTTTCCTTCGGGAAGAGCTTGCCCTTTCTGTGATTTCTTGCCTGGAAGCAGACATTCACCCTTTTTGTCATTGCTGAGTAGGAAGGTTGTCTTTATCCAGACAGAGCAGTCTGGGTCACTCTTACAAAAAAGGTAAGGCTGGAGTATCCAGCCTTCCTAGATGTACAGTAGGTCCTCGGCTTACGTTGGAGATCCATTCCTACAGGAGTGACGTAACGCAATTTTCTTCGTAAGTCGGAACCCACCTATGTAAGCACCTAGTCACTCACATGGAGCATATACACAGCAGTAATGAAGTGAAACAGTAAAAAATATTTAAAAGAAAGATAACAATTCCTGACCTTTACTTGTGGTAAATAAAAAAAAATATAGCACATATGTACATACGTCGAAATGACGGAACTTTTTTGTATAAATAAATGGGAGATGGCAACATATTTCAAGTCGGACGTAAACCGAGGACTGTCTATTAAGAAGCTCTGCAGTCTGTCTTGCAACCTTCACTCTGATCAGTGTGACCCATAATTGGGCTTTCTAAATTCCCATCATCCCTTCTTGCTATGAAGTTTATTCACTAATCAAGAACTATGTTCTCACCCTATACCACTGTTTGCTTGAAGTTTCTATCATTTGCTGTATGCTTGTGACTTTGTCCATGGCTGTAATGGGTAACAGACTGTTTTCTAAAAGAAACGCCCCAGTATTATTAGCAGAAGCAGGAAGACACTATGCCAGGGGTTGGCAACCCCTGGCATGTGTGCCAAACATGGCACGCCAGTAACTTTTGCTGGCACGCGAAACCCTCTCTTATAATCTTCCATTTACAATTTTTTTCTTAATATCGACTTTTTTATTTTTCAGATAAATTCAGTGCAGGTGCATCTTAGATAAATCCTTAGTGAGGATAGCCAGGGGTTTGTTAATTCTATTAATCTTTTCAAAGAACCAGCACTTTGCTGTATTAATTTCTTCTATAGTCTTTTTGTTATGTATTTCATTCAATTCTGCTCTAATTTTTATGATTTCCTTTTTTTCTGCTGACTTTGGGCTGCTTTTGCTCTTTTTTATTAGTTTTTTAAGATGTGATAATAGGTTGTTTACTTGAGATTTTTCTTGTTTCTTCAGATAGGCCTGCAATGATATAAACTTCCCTTTTATTACTGTTTTCACTGCATTCCAGAAGTTTTGATATGTCATATTGTCATTCTCTTTTGTCTCGCTATATCTTTTGCTCTGACCTTTTATTTCTTCCTTTAACCCAGTCATTTTTTAGTAGTATTTTGTTTAATCTCTAAATATTTGTAGGGGTTTTTACTTCCTTTCTGCAGTTGTTTTCTAATTTCAAAACATTGTGGTCAGAGAATATGCTTGGTATGATTTCAGTCTTCTAAAATTTGTTAAGGATAGGTTTGTGTCCCAACATATGGTCTATCCTTGAGACTGTTCCATGTGCACTAAAGAAGAATGCATATTTTGGTGTTGAGATGAAAGGCTCTGTATATATTGATTATGTCCATTAGGTCTAATGTGTCATTTAACAACGATATTTCTTACTGATTTTCTGTTTGGATGATTGATCTAGAGCTGTCAGTAGAGTATTTAGGTCCCCTACTACGATTGTGTTTTTTTCAGTTTCTCCTTTTAGTTCTATTAGTAGTTGCTTTATATATTTTTGTGCTCCCTGATTGAGTACATATATATTGAGAAGTGTTATGTCTTCTTAATGTACTGCCCCCTTCATCATTATAAAATGTCCATCTTTGTCTCTTATTACTTTTGTTATCTTGAAATCTATTTTCTCAGGTATAAGTATGGCTATACCTGCTTTTCTATGGATGCTATTTGCTTGGAGATTTATTTTTCACTTTGAATCTGTTTTTGTCTTTGCAGCTTAGATGTGTATCCTGATGGCAGCATATGGTTGGGTTTTGTTTTTGATCCTGTATGCTATTACTTACCTTCTTATTGGTGAATTAAGTCCATTTACATTTAGGGTACTTATTGATGTATGAGGATTCTCTATAACGATATTATTTTTTGTTTTCTGGTAGCGATGTGCCTCCATTGGTTCTTATCCTTTGTGTTTCTGTCTGTTGTTTTTCATACTTTTTTTTTCTTTTTTCCTCTTTTTTTAAGTTATGTGTTTCTGTGTGTGTGTGTGTGGTTACCATTAGGTTTATGAAAAAGAAAGTTTCATATATACATTAGTCCTTTTTTTTAATGCATCTGATATCCATCCTTCTTTGCAAATTGAGACCTCTACCCCCTCTACTTTTATGTTACTGTTATCACAGATTATTTATTTATGCTGTAAGTCTGTTGATGATCTTACTCATAGTGTTATGGCCTTATGCTCTTTGTTTCAGATAGAATAACCCCTTTGAGTAATTCCTGCAATGGAGGTTTTCTGGTGATAAATTCCCTCAGCATCTGTACATCTGGAAAAGTCTTTATTTCTTTTTCATATTTGAAGGATGACTTTGCTGGATATATTATTCTAGGCTGGTAATTTCTCTCTTTCAGTAGTTTGAATATTCAGATCCACTCTCTTCTGGCTTGTAGCATTTCTGCTGAGAAGTATTATGATATCCTAATGGGCTTTACTTTATGGGTTACTTTCTTCTTTTTTCTGGCTGCTTTGATAATTCTTTCTTTGTAATTAATTTTGGCAGTTTTAGTACAGTGTGCCTGGAGAAGGTCTTTTTGGATTAAGGTAATTAGGTGTTCTGTTTGCTCCCTGGATTAAAGGAATTAGCTCTTCCCATAGATTTGGGAAGTTCCTTCACATCAACTGTTAGAATAGGCTCTCTGTTCCCTACTCCCTCTCTTTTACTTCTGGAATACATATTATTTCTGTATTGCTTTCTGATGGAGTCAGATAGTTCTTGTAGAGTTCTTTTGTTGTTGTTTTATGCTCATGCCTCTATTTTCTTCCCTCTGCATTATTTCTAGATTTCTATCTTTGATATTACTAATTCTTTCCCCATCTGGTCTGCTCTACTTCCTATGCTCGCTAGTTCATTCTTGATCTCTTTTATTGAGTTCTTCATCTTCAGACTTTCTATTTGGTTCTTTTTTAAAGTTTCCATCTCTTTGTTTCCTTATTTGGTGTCTGATTTTATTAAACTGCCTATCTGTGTTTTCTTAAATCTTGAGTTTTTCAGAACTGCAATCTTGAATCCTCTGTCATTTAAATAACATATTTCTATGTCTTTAAGTTTATTTTTTAGAGATTTTCCATTTTCTTTCTGAGCTGCCTTGTAACCTTGGCTATTCATGGTATTCGATGGATTCCTTCTCTGTCTAGGCATCTATGTATGATTGGCACTTTTCTAATAGATTGGTAAGAAGTCTCTCTTTGTTTTCCAGTAGGTGGCATTGGATTTTAAGTTATTGTTGTTGTTTTTTTTTTGGCTCTCTTGCACTTCTCTGGTGTTTCAGGTTTCTGTGGGGGTGGTGGGAAATGGCCTTTGTTCCCTGAGAAGGTGGGCGCTTTCCCTGAGATCCAGTCACCCAGGTCTCAGGAGACTAATCTTATAGGGGAACATGGTGGGCAATGTGGCTCCAAATTTGTGAAATCTCAGTGCCGTCTCCCTTGGCCATACGTTGTTGGCAGTGTAGCCTCATTGTGCAGTTGTGGGGTGAGCTGGAGGAACCAGGCTACCTTCTTTATTGCTTTGCCCTCTGAGCAATGGCAACCAGTGGACCTTCGCAGCATTCCCCTGAACCTCCAACCAACCCTGATATTAGTAGCAGAGTGTTCCTTTCACTCAGTGAAAAAGTGTTTCCGTAGTACAAGTTCTCAGGTTTGCAGAAAATGTTCTCTGCAACCCTACATGATGGGTGAGGGGAGGCAAGCTTTTGGTGGTTAAGGGAAGGCGGCCAGGCTCCATGGCCAAATAACTGTGGCTTTACTTGTGTGTTTCATCCCTGCCCAGGTCACTGGGCTCACCTGCAGCTTATACTCTCCACTCCTGCAGGAATGCTGACTAAATCTCTTTCCTCCTCTGAGTTGAAGGGAGTGCCATTCACAACCTGACTCCTCTTCTCTCTGGGCTGAGCCCTGCAGTGAACTTCTGGCTGCAAGGCTGAGTCCATGGCTCCTTGAGCTCTTCTCACTTCTCGCTTCCCCTGTTCACTCCCACTTGCTCACCTTTATATGTTTCAATGTGCAGATCTCAGATGTGTTTGTGAGTTGAGCAGGGAATCCTTTGTTGAATTTTAGCTGTTCAAATTGTTGAAACTTCAAGGGGAGAGACCAAGGGGATCTCTCATGCTGCCATTCCTCTGATGTCACTGAGATGAGAAATAGATTTTTAAATGTCTTCATATAAATGGTCACTTAGTCCAATGGCTGTATAGTTAAGTTTTGGTTTTTATAACATACATATCTGAGATTTATGTCTGCTAACCATCTCTTCCTCATCTTTAACAGATTGCCAAAATCGAAAATGTCAATCATTTGTGTGATTTGAGAGTTTTAAACCTTGCCAGGAACCTTTTAAGTCACGTTGATAATCTTAATGGGCTGGATTCACTAACTGAACTTAACTTGCGACACAATCAAATCACTTTTGTGGTAAGTATTAAAATGGAACCAATATGTGATTCCTGGCCATTCCTTTAGGGCAGTGGTCAGCAAACTGCGGCTCGGCAAACCGCGGCTCGCGAGCCACATGCGGCTCTTTGGCCCCTTGAGTGTGGCTCTTCCACAAAATACTGGCTCTTCCACAAAATACCAACTTCTGCGCATGGGCCACGAAGTTTCAATCGCAGTGTACGTGCACGCCCGCATGTGGTATTTTGTGGAAGAGCCACACTCAAGGGGCCAAAGTGCTGCATGTGGCTCGCAAGCCGTGGTTTGCCGACCACGGCTTTAGGGAAATGAAATAAATATTATAGCATTGATTTATGCAAAGCAAGCAGCTCAGGTAATTCTGTTTCCTTCTGAATTTAAATTGCAGACATAATTATTAAGCTTTATATTTTTTGATTTTGGGAAGTATTTATGTGTTTTCTATTTTAAAATATAAATATAAAATTAAAAACAGAATAGAAATATTATCAGTAAATGAATCAGCTAGTGTAAATGTATACTGATCCTTTTCTGTTTTATCATGGGTATGGAATTCATATGAAAGAAGTTTATTAAGGAATGCTGATGAATTGTTGCAAAGGGAAAAAATAAGGAGTTTTGGAGCTGTGAAGGCATGCATAAATATCATATTCTTTGCAATTTTTATTTTTTAAATCTATTTTTATTGATTTCAGAGAGGAAGGGAGTGGGAAAGAGATGGAAACATCAATGATGAGACAGAATCATTGATTGGCTGCCTCCTGCATGCTCCTTACTGGGGTTCAAGCTTGCAACCCAGGCATGTGCCCTGACCGGGAATTGAACCATGACCACTGAGCACACAGGCTGGGCTTATTGCAATTCTTAAAGAGGCAGCTTGGTATAGTGGAAATGCTTTAAAAAAATAAGAGTTGGGTAAAGTTTCTTATTTATCCTTATATGTATACTCACAATTTCCTATAAATTAATATGCATCATATTTATTATCCTGACAATGATACTATATGTATAATGTTTTAAACTTTTAGAAATTGATATAATTTTGTTCCAGGTGAAACTGCCATTCCTTTTCCACCTCTGGTCCTACTGTAGTAGTTATTAACTATCTCCATAGATAAAACACCTGCACTCTCCATCCTTCCTTGACAAATATTCTTTATTTAGAGACCAGATCCCAACTCTCCAACTAAGGGTTTCCTCCGCCACCTGCTCTGTAGGTGGTTATATGTGTGCATGGCTGGGGTAGAGGTGGGCTGGGGGTGTGGGGTGGGGGTGTGTGGATTTGTTGGTATTTCTGGAATAGCTGTTGAGTAGACAGAACTTTAATTACACTTCCACTTGATTCAGTCAACCACCAGTCCACACCTGTGCTTTGTATGTACTGATTTGGAGCATGGAGCAGGATGGCATTTTGTCAAAAAGGATTGCCGCCTTTGCAATGCAGCAGCTCTTTTGTGAGTTCTGAGCTGCAGTTTTCTCTGTTCAAGATTATCTCTGATATTATCCTCTCTGCTTTTCAGCTCCCTGAAATTCATCAAATGTTGATCTATTATTGATAACTCTCTCTTTTTTTAAAGCATTTCCATGGATTTACTCATTTTGTGTTTTTTGTTTGTTTGTTTGTTTTGCTTCACCCATTGAATCTTGAGAAGGACATGAAATGAATGCACTACGTATTTCACCATCTCGTTAGAGATCTTGTTTTTTTGGATGTAGAAAAGTTGTTTGTTAAATTTGATAATCTTTTTCTTGGAAATTTTAAACCACATGTCATTTTAGTTTACATGGGATTTTCCCTTTTAAAACATTATAAAACATTAAAGACATTCCCAAAAGAATAGGAATATTCTAACATTTGTATATCCACTAATCAACTTAATAAATAAAAATGTTTCAAATAATAGTTGAGGCCTTCTGTGTAACTCTCCCGCATCACATTTTCTTCCTCCTCTGCAGAGGTGACTACAATTCTGAATTTGGTGTTTATTCCCATGCATGTCTGTTTTTTCCCCATATCTGTATGTATCCCTAAATAATATGAAGTAATTCTTTTGCATGCTTTTAAATGTCCTATAAATGGTATCATCATAGTAGTGTATGTATCTTCTGTAAGTTGTTTTTATTAACATTATGTTTTGAGATTTATCTATGTTGATACCTGTAGCTCTAGTTCACTAATTTTCATTGTTATATAGTACTACATTATATTATTGTAACTAAATAGTCATTCTTCTATTTATGGAAAATAATATTATTTTTAACTTTTGGTTATTAAGACTGATGCAGATAACTTTATTTACATGTCTTTTTGTGCCTGTGTATATAACACTGTCTCTAGGTCAGTGGCTTTCAAACATTTTTAGCCATAATTTATGGCAATAAAACATTTACATTGAGGCCCACTTATTTAATACATATTATGTGAGTCCACTATAAATACCGGGAGCAAGTGTTTCATGAAACTACACCTGCCCTTGCTGTAATCCATTCTGGCATATCCTATTTGATTTGATTTTGTCTCATTAAAAATGTTGGTCTCAACCTACTGAATTGATTTCTTGACCAATAAAAAATTGGTTGCAACCTGTATTTGAAAAACAGTGCTCAATGGTGGATACTTAAGAGAAGCTTGCTGGGTGCCAGGATTATGCACATTATTACACTTTATCAGATAACTCCAGGTTTTTCCCAAGGTGATGGTACCAAATTACATTCCCATCAGTACTACCTGAGAATTTATTTAATTTCACATCTTTGGTGAAACTTGATGTCAGACCTTTTTATTTTTGCTAATCTTTTAACTACGAAATTGTATTGCATTGAGATTTCAGTTTGAATATCCAGTGAGGTTGGCCTTTCATCCTTTTTCTTCTTTAGTATTGAGATTGCCCCTTTTCTGAATAGCCTTATCCTTTGCCCATTGTAAAAAGTTTTTGTTTTTTACCTTTTCCAGTTGATAAAGAAACAAATCTCTTTTATTTCTGCTGTCTTTTGAGGCACAGAAGTAAAAAACATCCCTTATAAGGCTGTGGACAAAAAGATATTTTTCTATATTGTCTAACAAAGTTTTAAAGTTGGTCTTTAAATGGATTTTTGCTTGTAATGTACAGTTGAAATCCAATTTCATTTTTTCTTCATTTATTGAAAAGTGAATTCTTTCTGTCTTTCCCTCTGCCTTCGATAGTATCTCCGTCTAGCAAATTAAATATCCACATATGCATGGGTCTGTGCCTGGCCTCTCTGCCTGTCTGTCTGATATCTATCCATGTTTCAATATAACACTCGCTTAATAATTGTAACTTTCTATTTTGTTGTCGGAGCTAGTAGAAGTAGATCCCCAATCTTTCTTTTTCTTCCCTCTCCTTTCATTCACAAGCTGCTTTCTTTCCTTCCTTGTTTTTTAAAATATATTTTTATTGATTTCAGAGAGGAAGGGAGAGAGAGAGAGAAAGAGAGAGAGAGAGAGAGAGAGAGAGAGAGAGAGAGAGAAACATCAATGATGAGAGAGAATCATTGATTGGCTGCCTCCTGTACACCCCACACTGGAGATCGAGCCCGCAACCCAGGCATGTGCCCTGACTGGGAATCGAACTATGACTTCTTGGTTCATAGGTTGACACTTAACCATTGAGTCATGCTGGCAGGGTCCTTCCCTACTTTTGAAAAATAATCTTGGTCCTTTCTTCTATATACATTCTAGAAATAGCATATCAAGTTTTATGAATAATCCTACTGATCTGTTTGATTGGAATACCTTTGAATTTGAAGACAATTGACTTTTTAATGATTTTTAGCCTTCAGTGTCATAATATGAATATATAATATTAATATGAATAACATAATATTAATATTGTACCTTTCTCAATTTATATATGTCTAATTTAATTATTTTATGCTTTTCTCCATAGGTAGCTTATTATTTTTTTTGTTAATCCTCACCTGAGGATATTTTTTCCATTGATTTTTTTTTTTAGAGAGAGTGGAAAGGAGGGAGGGGGGAGGAGGAGGAAGAGAAAGAGGAAGAGAGAGAGAGAGAGAGAGAGAGAGAGAGAGATCAAACCTGCAACCCAGGTATATGTTCTTAACTGAGAATCAAACCTGCGACTCTTAGGTGTGGGGGCCAACACTCTAACCACTGGGATACTGGGATACATTGTCCAGGGCATTTTTATTTTGTTTTCTTTAGATTTCTTCCCAGATATCTTATACTTTTTGTTATTGTAAATTTTTTTTGGTCAGAAATAGGTTTCCTACTGTTACTAGTATATGGAACCACAGTTTATTTTGGTTCATTGATCTTATATCTAGCAACCTTGCTCTAACACTTAATAATTTGAATAAAATATCTGTAGATTACCTTAGGTTTTTAAAATTTATATATATATAATTTATTTTTTTGTTAATTATATATATATACATATATATATAATTTTATTTTTTTACAAACAATGATAGTTTTTCCCTATTGTAGATTTTGTATCTTCTTGTTTGACTGAACTTCCAGTTTGACTGAATCTCCAGTACAAAGTTGGGTAAAGAAGTAAAAGTACCTTATTTTTTATTTTAAAGGGAATGCATCACTAGCTGTGTCTGCTAAATGCCATTTATCAGTCTGAAGAAATTATCCTTTATTAGTTTGCTTAAGGTTTATATTATGAATGGTTGTTGGGTTTCATTAAATGATTTTTCTTCAATTCTTATATTGATCATATGGATTCTTCTTTAATAAATTAAATTTGAAGATTGTAAGATTTTGTAATAAGTCATTCCAACATTTTTGGTCATTATGTATGTTATATACATTACTGATTTTGTTTGTTAATAATTTATTTACAATATTTACATGTATATTAATAAATGAGATTGGCCTGTACTTTCTTTTATTTTTATTGTTCTTTTCTGGTATAAAGGTCATACTAGCCTCGTAAAGTATATTGGGGGCGCTTCCCATTTTAATTGTGTATCTCTATTTTGGTTTCCTATCTATAATAATAAAAGCATAA